TATGGTCTCATTAATGTAGAGTAAAGATAAAACTATCAAACAGGTTTAAACACTCTCAATAATGCAGTGTTAACAGTTTCAGGTACTCTCAGAGTATTATTTAATCTTGGCATCCACATCCTATAAAATCCATCTTTTTTCCAGTTCACATTAAGCTTTTATGTACTTTTAAAATAATTTTCCTTGATCTTATTTATCTCAATAGTGCCTAGTGATGTATACAAACATTTAGAAAGGATGATGATTATAGAAAATCAAATGCAGAGTTTTTGGCTGCAAATTTTAATTTGGCAATCTAGAATATATGGACACATATATGAAGACATATAGCATTTGCCTATTAGAATAAATCATAATTGACCATACCAATTTCAACTATGGAAACTTTATTACTTTATATTCACAATTATAAAAAATACCTTTTGTTTATAATTATGTTTATATAATAATTCCCTAAGAACAATCCCATAGTGGAATTGCTGAGTTTGGCTGTGTACATTGTTAAAATGTTGATATATACACATATATTTTATTGGTGAGAAAGTTTCTAGTGGTTACCATTAAGTATGGAGTTTGTTACTTATTTAACACAGCAAGTATTTCCTTTGCAATGGCCCTTTTACATATTTCTTTAAACAAGGAATAGATGTTGAATTTTAACAAACACTTTTCCATCCTATATTTAGAACACATATATATTTTTTCTTTTTACTATTAATAAGATGAATTGTTAAAAGGATTTATTTATGTTGAACTATCTGAATTTCTGGAGAAAATCTCACTTGATTAAGGCATATTATTCATTTAAAATAATTTGATTCCTAGTTGTTATCTTTACATTTTTATTTTTGAATATTTATTTGTAAATGTGTTTAATCTTAAGCTATTGTTTTTTAAAACTTTTTTTTAAAGATTTGGTACAAGATTTGCATTTGCCTAGTAAGAAGAATTGGGACGTTTTTGTTCCTAGCCAACGTTCTAGCTTTATTATCATAAGACGTATCTATGAAACCCACTCATAAAAGTCTTGATGAGAACAATTGTCTTGATTTTACTTTTTTTTTTTATTTCAGAATATTATGTGAGTAAAAATGTTTAGATTACATATGTTGCCTTTGCCCTACCCAGGTCAGAGCTTCAAGTGTGTCCATCCCCCAGATGGTACGCACTGCACCCATTAGTTGTGAATATATCCATCCCCTCCCATCTGTCCAACACCTGATGAATATTATTACTATATGTGCACATACACATAAGTGCTGATAAATTAGTACCAATTTGATGGCAAGTACACATGGTGCTTGTTTTTCCATTCTTTTTTTAATTTCAGCATATTTTAGGGGCACAAATGTTAAGCTTACATATATTGCCTTTGCCCCACCAGAGTCAAGAGCTTCAAGCATGTGCATCCCCCAGAAATGGGCTCTAGCTCCATCCAGAATAATACATGAGATGCTAGTTCACCATTGTTTTTTCTCACTGAGTAGAACTTCATGGTACACATACACCACATTTTATTAATCCACTCATGTATTGATGGGCACTTGGTTGTTTCCACATCTTTGCAATTGTGAATTGTGCTGCCATAAACACTTGAGTGCAGATGTCATTTTTATAGAATGTCTTGTTTTCCTTTGGGCAAATGTTGATCTTTTATTTATAAAATAGACACTTGAAACTTTAGGTTCAAAATGTAAGATAAAAATTTAAGATTGGTTTGGGAAGCTGGGAGAAGCTCCCTAAGTGCTTCTATTTGGGAGACAGCATGATAAAATGGAAAAACCTCATATCTTGGAATTAAACAATTCTTTCTTTGAGTTTTGCCTATATTACTGACTATAAAATTTCTCTGAGCCACATGTAACATGGAAGAATAATAATTAAAAAGGGACTATGTGTAAAATAGTGGCAGAATAGTACAATAAATAGCATTGTACTTACATTTGCAATAAAATTTTTAAAATCTTCCCTCAAATCATGCTATAATATTTTAGCAAAATGACAAAATGTAAACATGTAGCAAAAATGTTAAGCCACAGTAGAATCTACCAAGAATTAAATAAGGGCTTTTTTCTCAATTTAAATGCTTAAAACAGCTAGTAAATACCTTGAGCACCAGAAATGAAAATGTGGACTTCTGGCAGGTAAAAATGTCTCAATATTTGAAGACTAAGACCATGATGGAGATTTCTGAGTTGAGAATCATTAACAGAGGCACCTTTGGGCTCAAAGCAGACACAGGTACATTTAACAATCTGTAGAGCTCTGCCTCTCATACTCCACCTTGCATCAAAATCACCTGGAAGTTTCATTAAAGCACAGTGATTCTAATTCATCAAGTCTTGGGTGAGGCCAGATAATTTGCATTTCTAACAAGGTCCAGGTGAGGTGGATGTTGCTGGTTACTATCCTAGTTACTATCTATATTTTTCATGTGAGAAAGTCATTTGATTTATTCCAAAATGCACAATTAACATCACTAAAGCATTAGAAACTTCACCTGGATCAAGAGAATCATCTTGAGCATCTGAAGCCCTCTAAGACTAAAAATTCCATAGCACACCTCAGCCACCATTTTTAAATTTCTTGCAGTCAGAAAATCCATACTTTTAGTTAGCACAAATCCTGAACTTTATATGTAAGTCGAGGAGACTGAAAAAACTGGAGATTTTTTAAAATAGTATGGTAAGCACATTGAAAGCAGGGATAAAATTTATCTTTCTAGGAATCATCTAGTTGCATACCTGGCTTAAAATAGAAATTTATTACTTTTTAGTAAATAGGATAAGCATTTACTTGTTCTGGATTATTTAAGTCCCCTTTTATTTCTGTGATATTTCCAGATCCATAATGAGATACTCCAAAGTGAGACATATTTGGAATGCCAGAGAAACAGATTTAATTCTGGCATTGTTACCTGAGAGATACGTACAACAAACTACCATGAAAAATGCATTTTAATGACTCAGGAAAGGTCATTTTACTATACAAAACTATATATCTACCCAAAAATCTATTCAAAAAACAAATGTTTTAAAAAGCACTTGACCTTTATATTGGTTTCCTCTCCAATTATTATATGCCAAACCAATGCAAAAAATAATCAAGTTCTTTGAAACTACATTGGTAATGCTCTTAAAAGGTGTTAGGAAAACTCTCAACCTTTCTAATAATTAATTTATCAGAACATGTTTCATTTTAAAACATAAATTAAAGGAGTTTATCATAAGATATTTCTCAGAGCACAATATATATCACAGAATATTTTCAAAAAACGCATTTCTACTTTAAACACCTGCTATCACAAAATGAAATAACCTTCAAGCTTGTTAGCAAATATCATTAATCTGTAAAGCATTGGCTAACCAAAATAAATATTGATACAAGCCTAAGACCATTAGCTGTGAGACGATATTTTACATGTACAGAAAACACAAAGAAGATATAGGAACTAAAATTCATCAGGGAAGTGAAAGAATCATGTAATAAATCTGTATCCTTCTAGTACAATGCTCAACACACTGACCACAACTCAGTCCCCTCAGGTCTGAGTAGTCCCCCTACTCCACAAGATTTTGGACCTGTTGAGTATGGGACAGGTTATGAACAAAAATAATTAGCCAAGTAATTAAGGTAATTTGCAACAAAAGCTCTCTGTTTATGAAAGTTGCTTTCCTGGAGAAAATTATTGCAATTCTATTAAATGTTTCAGTATTAATCATTGACATTATTGTGCTAATATATATTGTGACTTTCCTAAAAGAAAATATGTGGCATTTCCCTAACTTATTTGGCCACTGTACTAGCTTCCAATTGCTGCTATAACAAATTACCTCAAACTTAGGGTCTCAGAACAATACGAATTTTTTTCTCTTATGGTTCTGGAATCTGAAATGGGTCAGCAGAGCTATGCTCCTTCTGGAAACTCTAGGGAAGAATCCATTTCTTGCTTTTTTTTTTTTTTTTAATCTTCTACAGGCCACCTGCATTCCTTGGCTCTTGGCTTCACTCTCTATCTTCAAGCCAGAAGTGTAGCGTCTTCCAATCTCTCTCTCTCTCTCTGTGTTCCTTTGCTTCCTTTGCCACATCTCTGACCCCAACCCTCTTGCCTATCTCTTATAAGGACACTAGTGATGCAGTGGGCCCAGTTGAATAATCCAGAATAATCCTACTCATCTTTCAATCACATGTGCAAAGTCCCTTTAGCCATGAAAAGTAACATATTCACAGATTCTGGGAGATTAGGATGTGATCAGCTTTGGGAGGCCATTATTCAGCCAAGCACCACCATGAAGTCCTCTTTTTCATGAAACCCTCATAACAGCCTTCCCAAAATAGTCTTCTGTGTGTGAAGTGTGATGTACAAAATAATATCACTCTGGTTCAGAGCTCTAAAATAGAGTCAGGAAGCCATTTTAATAAGGACTATTTGCATGACCTATAACCTTGCAAAACATGAAGAAAATGCTAGGTTAAATGCTCCTTAAAACCATAATGGAATAATGCAAAAGTGTAATAAAAGAACAAAAGATGAATATGAATACTTTAATCTGTTGGATTAGAAGAGCGTGTACGTTTAATAAAGACATGCTGTAATGTAAGGGGAATGAGAGGTCATTAGGAGATTGGATTTTTAAAGTTCATCAGGTAACTGAGGTGGATGTCTTTTGTTGTGCTAAACAGCCTATCCCCTTGGCTAGGTCAAGGCAAAAGAGAAGGAGAAGGAGGAAGAGGGGGAGGAGGAGAGAAACCTTGTTTTAATAAAAAAGCAGCACAGCAAGCACAGTGGTTACCAGCCCATGCTCTAAGGCCAGATTGCCATGTATTAATTGTTCCTCCATCACCTTAACTATCCTTTACCTCTTTATACCACAGTTTTCTCATCTGTGAAATGAGAACAATAATCATATCTATATCATAGCATTTGTGAAGATTAAAATGGTTAATTTAGTTGTATTATATAACATGGGCTCAACATATTTTATCTATTGTTATTACAGTTGCCCTGGCTTCCCAGGAGGAAAGTGAAAGTCAACAATGGCAGGAAAAGATGGCCTGGAGCTAAATGGGAGCATGCCTTCTGACCATATCCTCTCTGACAAGAAGTGGCCGAATGTCTGCGTACACACCTTCTAGAACAGTGAATTAAGGAAAGAATAACTTCTCTGACAACTCTCTTTGATGATATGCAATTGCTGTTTATCCTGTATCTGTTAATAGAATATAAAGAATGCCTTGAAAAAAGAAAGTCCCTTGTCACACTGATGCATTTTCTAATTAGCTTAAAATATTAGAAAACAAGCATCCCCAGGCATTATGATCTACTTCTGCAGGGGAGCAACCTTGACATTGGTATTAATATTTATAAATCTCCCTTGATGAATCTAAAGTCAATAAAGTTTGGGAACCACTGCCCTTGCTGGTTAAAAGACTGTTGACTAATGAGGAAGAAACATCACATTTTCTAGGGAACAATGCGCTTTAGGTTTGCACTTTAATTACTTTTGAGTTTGTATTAATCATTCTTTGAGTTGCTGTAAATATATAGAATCATATTCAATTACTGGATATTTGACTGGTTTGACCTTTAAAAATGACAATTTTGTATACTATAATTCTGAGTAGGATTTATGTAGAATAACCCTTGTCCTAAACAACGTAAATGTCCGTAGATGGGTGAATAGATAAAGAAAACGTGGTGTATACATACAATGTAACATTATTCAGTCATGAAAAAGAAGGAATCCTGTTATATGCTACATGCGTGAACCCTAAGGACATTATGTTAAGTGAAATAAGCCAGTCACAGAAGGGCAAATTCTTCATGCTTCCAGTTATATGAAGTATCTAAAGTAGTAAAACTCATAGGAACAGAAAGTTGAATGGTGGTTACTAGGTACTAGGAAAGACAAAAACAGGGAGTCTCTGTTCAATGGGTACAGAGTTTCAGTCACACAAGATGAAAAGTTCTAGATATCTAATGTACGACATTGGGCTTATACTTACTATGGTACTGTACACTTACAAATTTGTTAAGAAGGTAAATAATAAGTTATGTGGTTTTTATCACAATAAAAAAATGTGCTGCTTAGTGAAAACCTGTTGTGCTAACCAAACACTGTACATCTGCTACTTCTTCCATCAAGAATGTCTCCACTTTGAACTCCACTTGTAGAAATCTTATCTAATCTTAAAGTCTTAATTCCAATGCTACATTCTCCATCAGTGCCTTATGTTTCCATCATCTTTGCTGGTGGAAATGGGATTGTAAGGAGATGACAATGACAAAAGAAAAAAGAACAAGGGCTTCTCCAGAGAATCATCAAAGAGTTAAGTAAAAAATATGTTTGGAAAACCAATGGATGAGAAAGGGTGGGGGAAAAGAATCCTTATGAGAAGGGGGGCAAACAGTGGGAATCATGACATTGAATTCCATGAATAGTATGATAACAACGTGGAAATACAAGAACAGGTACAGCAGGAGTGAGAGGTGGGAAAAACAGCCCCAAGCAAGAAGGCAAACCATAAGCATCTAACTGATGACATTGAGATCAGCCGAAAATAGAATGATACGTGTACATGTTGGGATATTTGGTAAAAGCACAATTTTGCTGCAAGCCATTAGATGTTAGAATTAAATTATGCTTACTGCTGTTATATTTATACCCGATTCAAATCATGTATAATTAAGTAAGCTAGTATGAACAATTGACATAAGCTATTTTCATGGCTTCTTTCCTGGCACAGTTTATGGAAGAAAACAAACAGATGGTGAACTAATGCTATGAGGCACTACTTTCTGTGTCTGATCCCTGGAGATGTCTGCGAAAAAAGAGCAGTGAACGTCTAAGGCTCCACAGCATACTCAGGAAGAGGAACTTCTCACTTGGGAATAAAAGAAGTCAGTTTCCATGAACTCCCACCACCACCAGATTTTCATCCTCCTCCCCCTTACCTGATGCTTCCCTTTTCCTGAGTCAGGGGGGAGTGGGCATGATTCAACTTTTCATGCCATCAGTGTTCTAGAACTCAGAGAGACACGGTACCAAATTCCATTTGTGACCTTAATGCATGTTAAGTGTACTTCTTTTATGGTACTCATTGCCAAGGTGTAGATGGACTTTGATTAAGGTATCCTGTGTCCTCAGCACTAACAGCTACAAAGGAAGAAGGAAGAACAATGAAGCCCAGGATTCGCAAAGGAAAACCAATAGCACAGCTAGCCCTAGAGATGGTAGCTACATTATAACACAGGGTAATAAAGTAAGTGACAGTCAGTGTGCATATATACTCATCAGCAACAAATACCCCAAAAAGTTACAACTGTGGTTGGAACAAGACAGAAGTGCAACGAATGGATATATTCTATGTTACAAGAGTAGTTTAATGTTTCCAGGTCATTCTTTTAGGAAGAGCAGATATCTAGCCAGCACTTCGGAGTGCATAAAGAACCATACTCCTTGGGGGAAAATATTTGCTAGAGACAATTTGAGTGGTAAAAAGCTGTTCATCAACACTCAGTGGGAAACCGTAGTACTTAGACGGAGAAATGAAGGCAGAATCCCCAGATGGGGTGGCACTTGCGGTTTGAGTACATTTGTGCCCAGAGTCATTAAAAGTACACTGGATTTTGAGTTTGAGCCTGTGTTTGCCAATGCAATGCCTGATTCAGCCAAGAGGATGTCAGCAACTAAAAAGTTTTAGACTACTGGAAAAATAAATCAGCAACTAGCAGTAAAAATATTGAGCATAGTCAGCTTCCTAGAACAATTATCATATGTGCTTAACTTACTCCTTGTAAGAGGGTAAAAAGTTTGAGGCCATGGATAAAGCCTAATTTATATTAAACCCCAAGAGAAATTTGTGCTTACAATAAATTTGGAAGATTAAAGCACAGAGAATTGTGAAAGTTCCTCTATGATATTATCCAGCAGCTTCTTGATGAATTTATATGGAGTTTCATTCTATAGACACACTTGTTATTGAATTACAATTGATGTATCATTGCCATTTGGCACTTCATGGCTAAGCATTCTTCTTTAATTGAAGAATGCCATTTTCTTAAAAATAAAAATAACTGAAATACTTTAATAATGATTGGTATATTAAGCCTGTGATACAGAAAAACTTGGAAATGAGGGAAAGTAAAGACAAGAGGTCAATTTAGAGATTATTACAATAGGCTCGATGAAAAGTCGTGAAATTTAGGCTAGGGGCTATTCCAATGAGATTAGAGAGAAACAGAAAGGTACAAGAGGCTCTTTAGAGGTTTAGTTAATAATACTTAATCACCTTGGTTACAAATTAGATAACAAGATCTTGGAAATAACAGGAATCAAAGTAACTTTAAGGTTGTATACCTAGATAACAGGTGGGAACAATAATGTCAATAAAAATAAGAAAGTAAAGAGGAAGCAAAAATTTACACAGAAATGTTAATTCAATTCAGGCATTTTGGATCCGAAGAAAAGAAATAAAAGCATAAAAACAAGAAGTGGAATAAATGCAGAGATAATTATTGTGCCAAGGACTAAAATTCCATTTTTAAAATGATGATCCACATTTAAGATGTTGCAACATGAGAAAGAGGATAGATGGATGTTGATTCCAAGTTCCAAGAGCTGGAAGAGGTAAAAAACAGAATGTTCTGAAATAAAGGAAATGCTTTGTGATCACTATACTGCATCTTGCATAAATAGCCTAAGCTAAATAATCTTAGAAAAATGAAGAATCCACCACAATGTGATTTTTTTGTGTTGAACTTCAGTAAAACTGAATATTGCAGTATTGACATTTCACTGTTAAAAAGGGAACTATGACCCATGTAATATTAATTTCTGAAATTCTCTTCTTAAAAAAAGAGAAAAACACTGTTTCATATTATAGAAGGAAATGTGAAGAGAACAAAATTAATTTTAAAGTCATTAAAATGAAATTCAGGGTACTTGAATTGCTATGTTAATGTTAAATTGTAAAGACATCTAAAATCAAGCAATGTTGAAGTTCACTATGAATGTGTTTTTACATAAATAATTTGAAGATGTACCAAAAAAGTGTTTTTTTCCTGAGAATGGTGAATCATTTAAATCAGTGCAATCTAGAGAATTCATTTGTGATACAATGTATCAATCTCCCACTGTCTCTTTGGAGTTTTAATAACAACTTCTGTGATGAAGTTATAAATTTTTGTTCCATGTAGTTTCCATCTCATGGCTGACTCCTCCTCTATAATATTATTCTCCAGGTAAAGTTAATGTAATAATAAGCATGCATCTTTATTTTTATTTTTATTACATTTCAGATATTTTAATTTGGCAGGTAATGAATTTTGTGAATATAGTTTTATTATACATTTTAAAAGTCTTGGATATGTGTTGATGTATCTTTACATATTCTATTCTCATCTCATCTATTGCATTTACCTGTTTAGAATATTTGCTCTTAAAAAAATTAAAAAATAGAGAAAAAGAGGGAAAAAAAGAAAATATGCTCAACACTTATCACTTCCAAGTAAATTGTAGGCAAAACTATAGCATAAATAAAAAAAATTTTCTAACTTTTTGTATATTTTTGTGTTAATCTAACTCCAAGAACTCTGTGTTTTTCTATTGCATATTGCATGCCTATATTATCCCTGTTTGAAGATCTTTAAATATGCTTGGCCTGCATCCATAAGATAGGAATGAATTTACATTATATGCTTCCAAGTGCCTGCACATTTACCCAGAAATTTCTCTTGTCTCCACTCTCTTATCTGCCAATAATCTCCTTCCATCTCCTGGACTTGCTTTCAAATGTTAGGAACAAGTGTACCTAAAAGTACATTCTTACTTTTGCAGAATCCCTTGTCTGAGACTGAGTTTCTAAAATGTACTCCCTTTAGTTATTAATAGTAAATATTCAGAGCAAAAACCATTCTCATAGTTTGCAATTGCACAAAGCTAAGTGTGCCATCATAGCTAATACTCCTTACTTAAAGTGAGTTTTCAATAGTCCCAAATTAATTCTTTATTATAATTTATAAATTCTGAGAATTATGGAATTATATATAAGATTGCCATGATTTTCACAGTAATCCTTCCAGTCACTCTGTCACTGAACTTGAATGACATCTTTGGGCATCAATAAGATGGCATGCATTACAAGAACCAATACAAATGAGAATTGAGAAGAAGCTGGCAAAGATGTTATCTTCATAACTACTCTCACACTTCATAAAGCAAAAAATGGAAGGCTAGATAGGTCATTAATTTTTGTACTGATTGTCCTTTAATATGAACATGTACTTCATAGCAACATTGTGGACTTTTTCCCCCTTTGGTAGGTAAATTTTGGAAGTTTACAACTCTTTACATAATTTTTTTGGTGATTCAGAAAGAAAAAGTGTTCACAAAAATTACCAAATTTATTTTTTTCAGACTCATCATTCAGAAACTATTTAAATAAACTTAAAATTAATATTAAAAGTTCTTTAGAAAAGTTGTACTTTCTCAATATGGTTTGAGCAACTGAAAGAGGAGTTGTAATGAAAGTCATCTTTCAACCTTGCCACCTCTTTCTAACTCCCATGAACACAATAATAAGTGGCATAAGTTTTCACAGTCAGGTATAAATGTCTCCACTATACAAGTAAGCTGAAACCATTCCTGTGATCTAAATATGGTCTAACCTGAGTTAAATAATCAGGGAATGTGCTGATAACAGCAGCAACAAAAGAGTTTTCTTTACACCTGAAAAATCATCACTGATAAACTTTATCTAAGTATACCTGCTGCCTTCAGAAGCCATATTATAACTAGATCATTCACGTCTAAATCACAGAAACCCTTAATCTATGGTACCAGAAAATTCTCATCACCTTTGGGAGTTGATGGAAATACCATCTCAAAAATATTATTAATTAGTTCTTAAATTGATTAGTTCTTAAATTAGTTCTTAAAAATTAGTTCTAAAAAATTTGTTCTAAAAAATTTGTTCTTAAATTAGTTCAGCTGGGCTTACCTAACAGCAAGAACCAGGATATAGTACTCAGGATATAGCACTAATACAACAATAAAATGCGGGACCACTATTTCAATTTTTTTTTCAATAAGTTTAGGCAATAAGATTCTCAATCAAATAAATAGATTATACATTTAAAATATGTATGAATATTTGGTATATGTGATTTTCCACTTTCTATCAAGGTAGAAAATTCTTGGAAACAGGATCTCCAGAGTATGACTTACTAAAACAGTTTTAGAACTTTTGTTTTCATTTTTTTTATTTCAGCATATTATGAGGGTATGAATGTTTAGGTTAAATTTTTGCCTTTGCCCTGCCTGAGTCAGAGCTCAAGTGTGTCCAGCCCCAAGATGTCCACAGCTAATGGGTGTGAATGTACCCATCCTCTCCTCCCCCTACACCTGCCTGACACCCAAGGACTGCTACTACTATATGTGCACATAAGCGTTGATCAATTAATACCAGTTTGATGATGAGTACATGTGGTGCTTGCTTTTCCATTCTTGTGATACTTTTTCACCTAGTAGAATGGGCTCCAGCTCTATCAGGGTAATACAAGAAGTGCTAGACCACCGTTGTTGTTTGTTTGTTTGTTTGTTTGTGGCTGAGTAGAACTCCATGGTATACATAGACCACTCACTTTTTTTAATCCGCTCACTTTTTCATGCATACACAAAATAAATAATTAAATAAATGTGTTACAATACAATCTCCAGATAAAAGAACAAACACTTCTTAAAGTTTAATAATATCTCTGGGTCCTGAAATTAAGCACAGCAGGAAATGGGAGTTATGGATTTCAAGAGACACTGTACACACTTTTTAAAGCTTCAGTTGGCACATTCCTGTGTAACTTCTAACACTTTTGTGTAACTGCAAATACAGCATGAAGGTAACATGGAAACTCTATGGAATGCCAATAGGTAGATCAAACGTTAAAAGAAAAAGGAAAACTATGTTCTCCTATAATTCCCTCATATTTTATTTTATTAAAAATTCTAATGAGAAAATCAGTGTAACATCTCTGCTTAATTGAGTGCTGAAAACTCTTGTTTTAGGGAATCTAGTGATCTAGTTATGATGTTATATACGTGATAGATTTCATTAACAAATATTTTATTAATCATTTTACAAGTGTTATGCAATCTCCAAAGTGGTCAGGATATATCACTAATATAACAGTAAGATGCAGGACCATTATTTCAAATTTTTTTTCAATAATGTTAGGCAATAAGGTTCTCTATCAAGTAAATAGATTATACATTTAAAATATGTATAAATATTTGGTATATGTGATTTTCTACTTCTTGAGGTTTTCATCTTAGGTAAGTGGTACAGTTACATTGGAACTTATTTTCTAGGCTTTATTGCTCTGATACATAATTTTTACCACCTCCCTTCTTTATGAAATACTTTCAAAATTATTTTAAGGAACTCCCAATATATTGCATCCCTTGAATCTAACCTCCCTTCCATCTGTATGCTCTAGCTATTGCCCACAATGATAAAGAAAAGTGAAAGAAGACATCACAAAATGAAGAGAAAGGCAAAAAAGGGTAAAAATAAATGCAAAAACAAAAAAAAAAACACATAAGAAGTTAGTACAAAACAATGGTTTAAAGGCCAAAAACATGCTAGAATAATCTAGGAAAAGAAAGACCAAAATGGGAAAGTGAAAAATGCCATTTATACACAGGGTCGTAGCACCCCAAGAATGCCTTACTTCTATTGTATGCTGGCTTCTGCTCAACCAGGTAATATGAGTAAAAATTACTCTGTTCTTTGTATCTGGATAGACAATCTTTATTTTTTTAATTTAATTTTTTTTTAAATTTCAGCATATTATGGGAGTACAAATGTTTAGGTTACATATATTGGACTGATAATCTTAAATAGTCTAAGTCCATGACTTAGTCCTTGAATCAAACCTTTAAGTTAGATTTTGAAGAACTGGGGAGAGATAAGGAATAGAGTTATTCAGAGCAGTTTAGAAAATCATCTACTTGGTTAAGGTGAATTCATAAGACTTTTACTAAGATACATGTTATTCTTGAGCCAGAGACCCTATCACACCACTGGCTCCTCAGAGGACTTGAACCATTTCTCATTCTTCCTTTATTCCCTGCCTAAATCCTCAAAACTTGGAAGAGGATTACTTGTGACTATGAAAGATCAATGCCAAGAATTTAAGTACTGTTCATTAGAATTGCCTAGAGAGCTATTAAAAATTCAGATGGCTGGGCTCTATCCAAAACCAAGTAAACTTCAAAATTTCTGAGGATGAATCTAGGACATCAGCATTTTAAAAACTTCTCAGATAATTCTACTATTCTCCCAGGATTGACACTCACTTACCCAAGATAACTCCTGCCTCTATAGCTACATTTCTTTAGTAACATCTATCTGAAAGCTCACAAACTCATTTTCTCAGAAACTATAATCTTAGAAAAGGTCCCTGATCAGAACTCCTACTATGTGAATTTACCAAATATTTAAGGAGGATTTGCTTGAAATATGTTTTTCAGGCAAGTTGCTGATGGTGTCAATTGAAATTGTGAGAATTTTTTGGCCAAAATGATGGTTAACAATGGTATGTAATTTGTAATATATTTATACTATAATCAAC